TTTGCCAACGATTGGCGAAACGATACCAGACTAACGTGTAATAATAAATAATACACATAATAACAGTGACAAAAAACAGTCACCTTACGATTGAAATGGTCGTTATTGACGTGCTCTCGCATCATTAGCTCCGCGTCGAACGCGCGACCGCACGCGAAGCATATGAACATCTCGTATTTTTCGCGCTGAAACCATCAACATTATTATTTAATATTACTATTATATATATTATTTATTATTATACATATTATTTATTATTATTACTATTATTATAACTATACTACCTTCGAGCTGGGCTCCGCCCCCGCAGTTCTGTTCGCACCCGTCTCTCGCTCCAAACGTTGCCGGCGTTCCGCCATCTGCTTCTCCACAAAGGCCATTTTTTTGTCTGCTTCTCTCTGTCTCTCATCGTCTTTTAGTTCTGTTTTCACCTGAAAGTTGGCTAACTCGTCCCCTACGTTCTCGCACAGGTGAATTCGCTCAGCAATATTCCAACATTCATTTCCCAAAACATGCGTTGGGCACCTAAATAACCAAATACTTGCCCAAAAATACTCCAATTCCACTAAAATTTGCCCAAAAACACTCAAATTCCTTGGGAATTTGCCCAAAAACACCCGATTTCCCGGAAATTTTGCCCAAAAATCTAAAAATCCTCAGTGTGAACGCACGAACCTTGTTCAAAAACTCCTTGTACGGGAAACTGAACAAATCCGTTCGAAGAAAATACTCCGATTCGGGGTCCTCGGCACCGCCACCCACCGTCGACGCACCACTCGAACTGACCGCATCACTTTCGCTGTCACTCCTCTCGGCCCCGCCCCCTTCTAGGTCCCGCCCACTCCTCGATTCTTCTTTCTCCAGAACTTTCGCCTCCCATTCCGCGTATTGCGCAAAACCATCGATCATTTGGCGCCAACGCCGACGTTCGTCACGCCGCTGCAACGCGTCACTTGGCCCCGCCCCCACCATACTGCTTCCTAAAATTATTATTGTCATCATTTCACCTCTAATGTCATAAAATGATCTAAGGAAACCCGTCTGGAGCCTGAAATTACCCACCTCCCCCTTCCTGGCCGCTAAAAAATCCCACTTACGTCTTCTACTTCGCCCAGAACCCTGTTCCTGTTTCGCCTCGTCGTCTCGACTCTCATCCTCTCGCATGATCTCTTCGACTTCCTCTGCATCTCTCCCCTCATTTCTCAGCTGCAACAAAACCGGAATTTTAAGCACAAGCCGGCGACAAAAGAATACATCATCTACGTTATTTCAGGAAAAGCGTGTGGACAATATTGAGGGCGGGGCTGGACGTTTCGCCAAAAGCTAAAGTTGTGCACAATCAGCCCAAACAAGCCCCGCCCACACACTAATGATGGCAGAATTGCCAAACAGAAGTCTCGAAGCACTAAATAAAAGTAATTACCACTAGATCGACAATAATGAATATGTAACAATAAAAATAAATTTATAAAACTGCTGCCATTTAACAACGATGATAATAACAAAGATTTCCGGTTCGGTTTAATTACACCAAGGTTTGAGGCAATTACCGGTTTAATTACACCAAGATTCGAGGTAATATTCGGTTTAATTACACCAAAGATTTAAGGCAATTACTAGTTTCGGTTTAATTACTCCAAGATCTGAGGTAATTTTCGGTCTAATTACACCAAGGTTCGAGGCAATTACCGGTTTCGGTTTAATTACACCAAGATCAGAGGTAATTTTCCCTTCAATTCAAAGTAACGAAAACAGACCGCGTTTATGACCTCGCTATCCATACATTCCGACGGCACATCGCCCAACTGCTGCTGTGCCTCTGCCGGCTTCATCTCACAGTATTCTCGCCTCTCTGCAGCAGCCAAAAACTGCGCATCCCCGTCGGCTGCCTCATTCCCGCCCGTCTGGGAAGCATTTTGCCCACCCGTTTGGGCAACTGTCTCCATTTTAGGCATCTTCTTCCCCGGGTCGTCCACATTATGGTTCACGTCCGGCTGCTC